GTTTTTCAGACCCTCGTGACGGAAAACCTCTCTGCTGAACGTGTCCAACCGGGCATTGGCTACTCTTGCAACCTTTTTTCCTAAAGGGGAAGAGATGCGATGAGCGCCTGCAGCAGGTGGGTGCCTTTTGGCCACAAGAGGTCCTTACCCCTCAAACACGCACTCCCCCATCAACAAAGGCAGCAAAGCCACCCATACAAAGAATTAGAACATCCCCAACTTGAAACTGTAAATCTGACAGAACTGGCCTTCTTGAACAGTTCCAACCCAAACACCAAGCTTGTATGTACCGCTGGGCAGGACACAAGGGATCTTCCTCAGGCTCAGCTGCTGGAAAGAGCAAGCTCACAACCTAGTCTCGCAGACAACAGAACAGTACTGCTCTGCAGACAGGCACCCTTAGCATTTCAGGGAGATCCAGTTCAACACCCAACACATCTGCATGTGACAGGCACTAATCCATAAAACCAGGCTCGGAATAGCATGAATAACTGCTGATTGACTAGACAACATCACAACATTGTTTTGTCTTCACAAGGTTTTGCTCTATTTCCAATTGGTCTCTGCTGAGGCTTATAAGGAATAAGGCCCTTTAGAGCAGGAAAAAAAGTACCCTTGATGTTCTGGATCTCAATGACTCCAGGGGAAAAGCACTTCTGCAACACCTCAGCTGCCTCATCCTCAATAGGCTGCAGGAGGGTAATGTCAGGAAGCAGTCGATAACTTGCTGTGGCCACAGGAGAAAATTTGGCGTGATCTTTTCCTGCACGAAAAGTTACATCAAGGATAAAGGCAGGCAGCAGAGTAAGAGTGCAAGGATGCCAGGGCCTAAAGTTGCAGGGAGAAAGGCAGTTCTCCACCCTTCCTCTTCACCCAGCTGCGCCCTAGCCCAAGCACAGGACACACGACTCACCTATGCCCTTGACACAGTGCATGAGCACATCGATTTCCTGGCCAGGCCGCAGCAGTGCAATGAGGATGTCGTCGTGAACGGGTCGGAAGTCAGCATCTGGGAAGAGGTCTGTCTGATTCCCCAGGGGCACCCACGTCATGTGCTTACTGTACACTGCGAAGAGAAGCCAGAAGCATCAGCCAGCTGCTGTCTCACAACAGGTTGCTGACCTGGATAGGACTGGAGGTGACAAAAAGTAAGTGAAGCAGAATGAGGGAAGCTGCTCTCTCTGCTCACGGGGCTGAGAGAACATACCAAATCCTGTCTCCCAAGATCAAAAAAACAGCACTTATTTTTAGGATGGAACTCACCTTTGTGATTGAAATACAGTTCATTAGGATCAGATGATTCCTTGGCTGCCTGGGGGTTTCGGCTGCATTTTATTTTCAGCTGGAACTGCAGAGTATCAATTTCTGTGCCTTCTTCATCTCCTGGGAAGGGGTGAACAGCATGAGTCTCTATGGAATCACACTTCTGCTGAATGTATGTGATTCTGATGTACTACTTTGGGAGAAACCTTCAGTCTTCCCATTTGATCCAAGACTCTCACCTTGGTTTCTGTATTCAAAGAGCCGAGGGTCAGCTCGGATAGGGATAAGTCCCAAGCGATGAGCCAGGATTTCATCCTGCACAATGGACGTGTTGTTGTACACGAAGACCTTCTCTACAGCCATTGTTGGCACCTCAGGGAGACAAGAGATCAAATGAACATGACAGTTGAACTATATGCCTAGGATCTGTAGCTAATGTCCCTTTTCTCCCACAAATAACTGCCCTGCAGACTCTTTTCTGTGCTACTTCTGCCAAACCGGCCTATACACCCTTACACCCAATACACCCTTACACCCAATACACCCCGTTCCTGTTTGGGGTTTTTCTCCTTCCAAAACAAGCGGCCAGAGAAGCGACGGGCAGGCTGATCTACAGACCCTACCGACAGCCCCCTAAAGAGCAACGAGCACTACAGGTCATGCTGCTGAGGCCCCAACCCTCTCTGGGCTCCTGACCCCTCCGAGCACAGAGCTGTCCGGCCGGCACAGCTCGGGCCGCTCTCCCCGCTCCCCATCACGCACGTCCCCCGCCCCCGGACC